AAACCATTAACATAACGCATTATACGCATAAATAAAAATAAATATATAAAAATTTACAAAACTCTTCATCGATGAATCCGCAAAAACTCGTTTGACACATGTTTGACAAAATCGATTTTTTTGCATAATTAAGTACTTACCTCATATAATAATGCACATGATTGTAAAACCTCTTATCTTCCAAGATAATCTCAAGACCCTTAAAAACAAATTAATTTGTCCTATAGGTATATTTAAAAAAAGCCAGATATGAGAGCTTTTAATATTTTTTTCGTCTCCTGTAAAACTACAGTTTTTTTCATATGAGTTTTGCGGATTCGATGAGTTATTACCTAAAACAGCTTTAGAAATCTTGGATTGGCTAAAATCTTTTTTGCCCTTTTTCCCAATAAAGGAAAACTGTTGTGCGACCTGGTCTGAAATAAAATCATACAGGTTATTGCCACCAATACCCACAAAAAATTAAACCTTAAAAAAGAAACTAATAAAGAATTTAATTATAATAATATTTATGTTTTCTTACCAAATCATCATAATTTACTTACCAAAAAAGACCCCTCAGGCCACCCACACAAAACAATAACTTAAAGTATACAACTTAAAATTTAATTTAAGCCTTAAATTACTGTGATCACATTATAAAACGAGAAGAAAATTCTCGACACAGAACGATCTCGATTTTCACGAAATGTCATTCCACAGAACATAAGTGTCATTCTTGGCAATAAAAGCCGCGAACCTACAGAGATGCCGTTGGTTACAAAACAAAATTCCCCAGGTAACAATCAATTAAAAAATATCTAGTATGACGACATTGTTCGCGGTCAATTTAAAAATTACAAAGTTATTGATATTATAAGAATTTGGTGTTTTTGCTAAATTGATAGGTTATTTTTTTTTAATAAAGTGTGTTATGTGTTTTGATCTTATACCTATAGGTATATGGTTTTGATATAAATTTATTTAATATTTGTAACAAGTTTGTTACAAAACAAAACAAAATTCCCCAGGTAAAAATTACTTAAAAAGTAACTAGTACGACGTCATTGTTCGCGGTCAATTTAAAAATTACAAAGTATAATAATTTGGTGTTTTGCTAAAAATTGATTGGTTATTTTTTTAATAGTGTGTTATGTGTTTTGATATAAATTTATTTTATATTTGTACCAATATCAGCTATTTAAAATGTTTATGCAACATCTTGGGGAAATCATACCAGAAATGTTACTGAGGAAACATCGCAGGGATATACGATTTAAGTCCGAAACATTGGGGCATAAATAGTACATAAATTGTATGATTCTGGCATGTATTGTGTTATCTGGGTAGGTATCATTTAAATGACTCTTTAGAAATTTAAACCAATAATATTGAAGAATTAAATATTAAAATTCCATTTTTTAAAAATTAATATTTTTAAACTTAAACTTTTACAGTTGCATTTTATATTTAAAATATTTTTTGATTATCAATATTTTTGAGTTTACAAAAATTTAACTTTTTAAACTATTTTGGTAGAAAATGTTTTAAATGTGTTTTTATTTTAAATGGCTTGATACTATTTTTAAATACTAAAAAATTTAACTTTACCAAATTAATCTCAATAATTTTATAAAATATTTATTTAAGTTAAGAAAATGCCACCCAAATAAATTAATAAATACTTGGAAAATGATTTTTATTAAAAAATGATAGTTAGATATTTTTGCAAAAATGATAGAAACTAATATTGTTTAATACAGAAGTGAACTGTTGGTTAGTAAATTTTGTCTTTCAATAAATGATAGTTGAAAATATTATAAATTTATAAATGTAAACCTAAAATTTTTAGTTAGGAAAATTTTAAACCGATAAAATTTTAATTTAAAAAATTATTTAATAAATGTTAAAACGGCGTGCCATATCTATTGGTATTTTCCAGTAAGAAAATTGCCAATAGAAACAAGTGGTCATTTGTATTAAATTGCGCAGGCGCTGAACATTTAAGTGGTATTTACCAATTGAATTTCAATTGGGAATTTTCTGTACTTGTAACTTCTTATAAAAACCAATTCAGACCATTAGGTAATCTATTGGCATTTTCCAGTCCTGAAATTACCAATAGAAACCAATGCTCATTCTGTTGAGAAACCAATAGGCCCAATAAAGACCAATTCATTCCATTCTGATTTTTTATTGGTTTCTATTGGTCTCTATGGGTGATTTTTAACAGGGATATTTCAAATGTAACATTTTATTTATGTTAATGCTAGTAGCACAGGAAATATTTTATTTGTAAAGTCGGTGAACATTGCAGCAATATTTTGTAAGGTTTCTTTCCCAGTGCACTGGGGATGCTTATTTATGTGTATACAAGTACCTATAATAGGTACTTACAATATTAAATAAAAAATAGTGAGTACAGGCCTGTTGCAATTTGGCATGGCCGACTGCTTGTCACTGACAAGTTGTCACACTTTTGGTCATGGAGCCTACAGGCTCCATGCTTTTGGTCTTGGAAAAAGGTTGGTAATACCAACTTGGTATAAATATCAGCGTTGCCAACCCTACGGATTTTTCCGTAGATCTACGGATTTTAAGGGTCATTAACGGATAACCGGATTTTGTCTGAAAATCTACGGATATTTGGACATTATCGCATAATTCATAATTACTTGATATTTTATGTATTAAAACCTGCGACAAGTATAAAATTGCTTGAACCCCTTTTTATATTTTTTAACTATTTAGCTCCGTCCAGTATAAAACCTTGCACTGAACGTACTCATGGAACGTTTCATGGAACGCACTCATTAGTTTAGGAAATTCCTAATAGGAATTTCGTGTTTGTTACCAGATAGGGGTGTCAATCCCGAGCCCATTTTCCAATCCCGGGCCTTTCGGGACCAAAGGTAACTAATCCCGGGATCCCGGGATCAGTCCCGAAAAAATATATCATTAATTTTAAAACCAATTTAAAATAAAACAACAAACAAACTAACGAACGATATCTTTCGGACTTCACACTAGTCGGAAGAATGGTTTTTAAGAATTCGTAGGCACATTGTACCCACGTTTACCCCCATTAACAAATAATTCAATTTCTTTTATTAATCGGGCCTTGGTAAGTTCCAATTGGGGCTGTAACTTACATTGAAATTATCAATTTTCAGGTTTGACGTTTAAAATATGTTATATTATAGGTTATGTACATAAATTTATTCTACAGTGACCTGTAATTTTACATTTTCTTTGCTGATTTTATGCTATAGATGGAACCACTCTTGCTATGTAATTTCAATGTATTTTCATTATTGTACGGCGGTGTATAATAATTTGACTTGAACTGAGTAAAAAAATGAAGTGTTTATATATATGCTTATGAGTATTATAATATGAAAAATGTCATACGCTTTAAAAAAAGTATATTTTATTCTTTTTTATCCCGGGATTTTCGGGATCGGATTTTTTACGGGATCCCGGGACCCCGGGATTTCGGGATCCCGGGATTGACACCCCTATTACCAGAAAAGGTGCTGTCTGTCAAAAAGATGCTGTGAAAAAAATGGCAACTAAAGTTTTAAATTTGTTTTGGTATCTATTTACATTTAAAAGTTTTTTATACATGTATCACACTATTAGTATCTAATTACATTGTTTATAAATATATTAATTTATGAAATGTGTAAATCTTAAAAGCGCCACCTTGCGCCAAATGTCAATGCTAAATAAGTTATTTAAAATAACTGAACAGCTGATAAATATTGAGTACCAATCAAAATTTTTAGTGATTATTTTTTTTGACAGTTCTCTGTATTGTTGGGACATTGTTGAGGCATTGTTGTTGAGGGAACCTACAGCGAATTACAGCGATAATTTTTTGAAAATTTTCTCTGGTAGTTGCTATATATAAAAAAGTCAAATTAACCACACGTCAAACTGACAGGTTGAATTCAATTGTGAAAATTGGAGATTTTGCATGAAAATGAGTCGATTTGGAGTTTGTTCTCTGTCCACCATCGATAAAAAAGTCAAAGGAAATGTTCCCATTAATACGGAGAAGTCAAAAAAAACAGTTTGGAACCAATTTACTACTTTTTGTACTGAGAGGGAATACACATTGAGTGCTGAAACGAGTGAAGCGCAATTGGCAAACATTATGAAAGATTACGCTTACAATATGAAGAAAATGGATGGAGAAGACTATAAGGAAGGTACAATAATAACTGTCAAAAAAAATAATCCCCCGAATACCACACGAGCTTCAAAATTATCTGGCATTTCCCTCAAGGTTCCCTGCAAACAAATAAAGTCGTCAAGTTTTTCAGGAAAAATCACTCGCGCTTCGCGCTCGTGATTTTTTAACCTGAAAAACTTGACTCCTTCATTTGTTTGCAACGAACCTATCGGGAAAAATACCCGATAATTTTGAAGCTCTTGTGGTATTATATATGAAAATTCGTAAATCTATCCAAGTTTCTAAGTCGCCGCGGTGCCTGCCACCTCTGATCCCTGGTACGGATCTTGGTTTAGTACTACTAAACCAAGGTACGGATAAATGTCCGGATTTTACCCTTCACCCACGGATTTCTATGGATATTTGACTAGAGAACTCAGGATTTTTCGAACGAAAAGGTTGGCAACGCTGATAAATATGGTCAAATCATAGAAATAATACTAAGTAGTATTATTTCTATGGGTCAAATAATGGGATGATAGGGGCCATAGAAATAATACTAGTATTATTTCTATGTTAGGGGCCGTTTACTAGCAAATGTGTTCTTATTTAAATAAAAAAATAATTAAAAAAGTAGGTAGTTTATTTTAAATTAGGTATTTAAATTTATTTTGTAATATACCTAGGTACCTAATTAAATAAATGTGCTTTATAATGACACCAAAAAATTTAATATAAGTTTATTTTACTTTAACTTATCAAAAACCAAAATAAAAATTGGCAAAACCACCATACTTAATTTACATCCTGTATAATTTAAATTTAAAATAATACATCCACTTACGGTTGCCCCAGCAGTAGCATGCACCAGTGTTTCATAGTTAAATAAATTTCCATTTCCCATTTTTTAATAACAAAACCACAACCAACATGGAACAAAACGCAATATTTTGTTTTGTTTTATAAAAAGGTGTCAAAGTGCAAGAGTCTAGTATTTGAAAAACTTATCCCTTCCACAATCCATTGTAATCCCTTCTATAATATTTCTATGTTAACTCAAGTTTTTTATCAGTTAATAAAATATAAATTAATTAACTATACCTAAAATTTTTTTAAAAACATACTTAAGTAATATTCTTATTATTTATTACAAAGTTGTTTTTAAATTTTACTGGTAAGTTACCACTGGTAACCATCAATATAGTGTATTTTCCACAAAAATTTTTTTTCCCCACTTATTTACCTTTTCTGTGGCAAAACAGTAATTTGTTTTAAAATTCGTAGAAATAAGTTTTCAAACATCCCGCATTTTAAAATTACTGTGAATAAGGACCGTTCTGTCAACCACAGAACCACAGAACATAAGGTCTTACACAGAACATGAGATCCTAACATAATCTGTGGATCCTAATAATCAGGATCACAAAATATCAAATTGGACACTTTACAAAACCTAAACAGCTGAATGTCTGTTTTGGTTTGTTAAAATTCCGTTAAAAACAGGTTTCTGTAAAAATTTATTAACAATTTGCATGGTGTTAAACTTAAGAAAAAACAAGGTGTAAAATAACCACGTAAAAATAACAGAAGTGTAGTTCAAAAAACTCGATAAAATAGTTCAAACAACCTATTTATCGCTGCTGCCAACATTTTAAGACATAAAAGGATGAAACATTGTTAAAATTAAGCAAGTTTCGCCACTTATTAATAAAGAAAATTAATAATAGTTTAATATTTAAATATTATAAACAGTAAATATTAAAGTTTTTCGTAAATTTGTAATAAATAAGACTATGATATAATTTCTTAAGGTTGGTGGCTTTAGTGGCGCCACATGCACAAATATTTTCTACGTCATTTTATAACTTTATTAATAAAAATGGGATTGAAGAGGCCTTGGACAGCCATTGGAGACCAGCTGATTTGAGTTGACAATAAAATGTTCCGGTCTTATCAGCCCGTTTTGGCTGGTATTGTGTTTAAAAACAGTGTGGTTATTGCCAAAAATAACTAAAAAATCAGAAAAACACTGCTGGCAGCAATGGAAATTGAACAATGGCCCTCAGAATGCCAACAATCTGTGTGTACAGCTGTAGAGAGGACAGATTTAAACAATGGAGATATTCCGATGGATAGCAGTCAAAGCTTTAATAATGCCGGTAACATCGACCAAAACGTGGAAAATAGACCTGACACTTTAAGTCAGGGAAATAATTCCATTACTATTAGGTTAGTCTTTACCATATAGGATTTCTTATCCTTATCTGGACATCTTAATTATATTCTCACCATCTGCTTTAAAGTAAACAAAAGTATAATTTTTTGTTTTTAGTGACAATTCTAAACAAAAGCTTCATGCAATTCTGGAACAAATTAAAGGTCTTTCACCTGTTGAAAAATACATTTTCAACTTAAAATTCCCATCAGAAATATCAAACATTGTAGATCCATTTAGACAACCTTTAAATCCATTGGGAAGTCGTCCAGAAATATACTGCACTATATCATGGATAAACACTCATTTAAAAGAAGATCCGGAGACTTCTTTACCAAAACAAGAAGTATATGATGAATATCAGTAAGTATTATTTATTACAAATTCACCTTAAAATGGTATATTCAGATTAAATTGAAATTTATTGGCTATAGGTAGTAATAATAAGTATTTTAAAGCATTTTGCACAAAAGTGAAAAGTACTAAATGCTCAGTATTTAATGTAAAAAGTATTTTTGGAATTCTGATTGTTAAAACATTGCATTTGCTCAGTACAGTGGTGGTCCACTGGTGGACATTGAATTTTAAAAATCATAATTTGATCATCCATATGTAATACCGTAAATAGCATAGATATAATAATGACCACTTTTACTTTTTCCGTCAAAATGACAAGAAGTAAGGTTAGATGTCATTAAAACTCAATAAAATTTTGTCTCGCTCATTACAAATGTAAAATGTTTAGTAAAGTGCAGTATTAGTTATTTTTCACAAAAAAAAAAAATTCTTAGTACTACAAATAAAAAGAAACCAACCCAAAACTGGCATTTTTACCATGCTTTTATAAATTTAGTATTATTACTGCTTAACATTCATACTTGGGGGTATTGGAACGATTATTTTCCTGGGTGGGCTCACCAAAAACATGTTATGACACAAGGTTTATTCTGTATTTTACATTTATTACAGGTTTACACCTTACCAAAGACACGTTTTCTGTCTCCATTTCTTAAAACAAACTCTTGCATTATTTCTTGTAGATTGTGTTGTCCTGTTAATTTTTTAAGGTTATGAAGACACATTTTTGTGACATGGTATACCAAGTAGATAGAATTTATAAGTGAAATATATGAATTTTTATGGATGGGCTTAAGCCCACTCAGTCCACAAGGCTTCCATGCCCTTGTTCTTACTAAACATTTAATATTATATAGTGAGTGATATTTTTACATCGTGTTTAGTTTTTTACTGGGCACTTCCTAAGTTTACTGTTCATTTAGTATTTTTGCCTGACATACAGTATTAAACTGAGCACTTGGTTAATTTACCTACAATTTTATATTTTAACTGTGTTTTAACAATATTTACTGAGCTTTATTTAGTGAGCATTTGAATAAATTAATGAGTATATGTACTTTGCATTTTAATAAAATACTGTGCATTTAATTTTTGGCGGAATTTAATTTTTTAAGTATGCATTTTGCATACCTAACACATTTACATGTGTATGCAATATGTACCTAAAATATTGCTTGACCTTGCCAGAGGTTTTTATTTTTAAAATCTATTTAAGAAATTAAGATTAGGTACACTATAATAATATTATGTTTATATTATGATCCCATGAAATTTTTAAATAAAATTTAACTACTGCAATTTGTTTGAAATAAAGACTAAATTTTTATATTGTTTAGTAAACAATATAAAGTTTTTAAGTTTTACTTATTTCCATTTGGAGTCTTCAACACAAGGTGTCCCAAAAATAGCACACTGGTGCCATACAATGCAAGGAGGGATTATACTTTATTGTTAAGACAATTTATACATAGTTTCAAAAGATATGCATCACCTAAATCTCCGTTTAGTTTAGTCTTTCACTACAAAATATTACTGATAAAGGAAAATGTATTTAACCAAAGCATCCTAGTACAAATACAATCATCATAGGAGACTTTAATGTCAATAACAGTGTAGGTAAATTTTCAACTTTTGAAATATCACAGCTAAACGCTCGGACACGCAAACTTAATTTTTAGTCATAAATTACAAATCCGTGCTAGGTAAGCTGTATCAGATCGAAATTCAAAAATAACCTTGAAGCACATTTTGCATGCCAAGGGGTTGGAATGCACGTATTTGCACAAAAATGTATTTTATTATATCTTATGAACAATTCACGATTTTACTTAATTTATTGTACATAAAGGTTATATGGTGACATGATTCTTGCGGTAAAGATGCCATTGTGGTTCTCGACCACTGTGGTTTTGTCCAAGTTTACGCGCGCGGAATTGTGCCCAGGCACTTCAAGTTCGCCTAAGCTACGTAACAAAAAGCATTGTTTAAAATAATAGTAGATTATGTCATATGTTGTTTCTTTTTGTGCTGAGCTCAAAAGATAAGAGGCAAACCAATAGAGCGAAGAACAAGACTTTTTCCTTGAAATAACGTATAGCTACTATTTTATCTTATAACAAAAACTAAAAAGCATTAACTTAATATGAATGACAGTCTGTCAATGACAGATGCTTTCTCCAAAGCAAAGGCATAGGCGGAGACAATATAAATGAAATAGTTAAAAAAAAAATGTTTTTTATAGATTTAATGCCTACGCTTATTTATCTTATTATTGTTTTGTATTGGAAAAATAAAAATATTATATTAATACAATGATAATAGTATATTCTGTAACAAGTTTGGAATACAGCATATTCCGCTCGAGTGAAGAGTTTGTCACACAAGCCGAAGGCGAGTTTGACGGTTTCACGAAAGCGGAATATGCAATTCCAAACGTGTTTCAGACTATACTTATTCTACGTTTCCAAAAAATACCATAGAAAAATAATTTAATTGAAAGAAAGTGAGGTTGGATCGGTCTAAAATTTGTTAGATTTTAAAAACAGAGATGTCGCCACAAGTGTTCATTCTGTCATCCGATGATAGAATATTTCATTCTGTATCACTTTACGGAATATATGTCATTCTATAGATAAAAGTGATATTAGAACGGTCAAATTCCGTAATAGGAGTAGAAAAACAACTTTCACGGTCTGCGTTGAGGCCAATAATATTGATACTATATTATGTTAGAAGATAAAGTATAATATTATTCCTTATGGTCTAGTGGTTAAGATCCTGACTTTCACGGTGAGAGTCTCACCCAAAAGACTAGGGTTCGATTACCAAAAATTCTCCATTAAAAAAAAATGTTTTTATGGTCAGATTAACTTAATATGGCAAAATTTCAAAGGAACACTCTAGACTTTCCGGCGCCCCCTTTTTGATATCATGAAATGTTCCTGCCCCTTGATAATAGTAATGTTTTGGTGTCTTTTAATGTAGTCTCAAAACAGGTTCTTTGCGACATACATACCATGCGCGAACGCACATTCTGACCGCGCCAATTGAAATTGAAAATTCAAACATTGAATGCTTTAGGTATAATTATTTTTTAGCAAGGAATAACTTTTTATATTTTTTATTTTATTTTTGTTAAAAACTTTTATTATCTTTATTGAGCTGTAATGAGATACTTTATCCCACCCAAAATTTTGATTTTATAGGTTGGCTATACTTTAAACAGCCTAATATTTTGCATTTTGGTTATAATATTTTTATGATTTTTTTAGTACTTACAAGACTTTTCTGGCAATAAATTTTGTTTAACACCAAAGAAAATCCTTTTTTTTTCTTTAACATTAACAGCCGCTTATTGTAAATAAGTAAATTAAGGACGGCATGGCGAATCGATATTATCATTAACTGTAAAACCAATGACTGTGATACCAACTATCTAAAGTAAAATTCGGCCAAATTAAATTTAAGGTCACTTATTGAAAACTGTCTTTTATAAATTTTTTAATTTCACGGGAAAAGAAGTTAAATGAAGTTAAATTTTAAAACGAAAATTAGCTTGTTATGATAACAATGTTATCATAATACTTTTAAGAAAACAAATTGGATTGGAAAAATAGTTAAGATAATCCTAAAATCATTTAAAATATACATACCTATATAAATATACAATATATTTTTTCGAATAATTTTTGAGAACCACAGTGAAAAATTTAATAATAACCGCTAAATAGAAAAATAAACTAAATAAAATAAAAGTATTATTTATTAAACAGAGAGAGAGAGAGAGCAGAGAGTCAGATAGGTTCTGGCTTAACATAAGATTTTGCGACTCACGTCAACTTGCTGCGACGTGTCACCTTGCTCCATCGCTGGGAGCTCTGCGCAGGCTTATGTCCTGCGATCGGAACCCTGCGCCGATTGTAGACCCGGCTTTACCAACAATTGTAATGTTAAAAAGTTTAATATTACTATACTATATAAAATTTAATAATGGTATAAATTGGTTTAATAATAATAAATTAAAAAAACTTATTAAAATATGAAAAAATTGTCATACATATTCTTCATTTTTTAATAAAAGATGAAATCCAAGAGGGTTGTACATACATTTGATTAGCAACAATTTTATTATTATTAGAGGGACCGTCGTTATTTTTTATAGGGGCCGTTGTTCTTAGCAAAGGGACCGTCGCGACGTTACTATAAAAATAATAATAACATAATGATTTGTGATTTAGAAAGGTAAAAAAATTAAATGGAAGGTTATTTATTATACAAATAGCTCGTTTACAACAACAAACATAATTAATCTAGATTATCATAAATGTTTTGTGTGTAATCATTTTCTTGGATTACAAAATTTCTTTTTGAAAACGGGTGAGGAGGTGAGCATTTGTATAATTTTTTAAATATATAACGTTCCCTATGTTAGCAACAACGGTCCCTTTTCATGAGGACCGTCGTTACAGGGGACCGTTGCACAGTGTTTCAATTCTCGTAATTTTCGGCAAAATATCAAGGAGTAGTCGGATTCTCCTAAAAATCCGTATATAGAGGTTTTTGGGGTTGCTGATAACGAATCTGGAATCCAAAATTCAAAATGGTAGATCCAAAATAGCGGACATATTTGTCAAAATTTGACGGAATAAATTGAAAATCACCATACAAGGGTTTTTGTGGTCGCAGGTAATAAATCTGGAATCAGAATTCCAAAATTCAAAATGGTAGATCCAAAATGGCGGACATATTTGTCAAAAAATTGACGGAATAAATTTATGTCAGTTTTTTATTTATTACCCTTTCATAGACTAGTAATATATTTTAAAAGTATACCCTGCTTAAAATACCCCATAGAGACCTATACAAAATAATCTATAGGGCGCTACCGGATTCAATATGTGCATTTGTCCATGGTTTTTTCCGGATACGGCCCGATAGAAAATGTATAGGAAATTACCTATAGGAACACCATAACTTTTACATTTTCCCTATTGAGACCGATAGCA